GCACAGAAGACTGATGGATTCCAACCCTCTTTTTTATTTTCTTTTTTTTCCAATTTTCTCCAGTCCCTCGTAGCAAGTTGCAGTCATTTCCCTCCCCTTCCCAATCCTTCTTGTGCTCAGTTGCCCTGTTTTTGAGTTCTCATCTCAACACCATGGTTCTCACCTTATTTGGGGGAAATACCTTGAGCAAAATACAACGAGAAAAGAATCTCCACTCTTCTGTTCTAAATTCATTTTTATCCTTATCTCAAACTATGGATTCAACACCGCCAATGTGCTCTGTGGGGGGAAAAGAAAAGCCCTCTGGCTCCCTGGGCTCTGCAGGAGACTGGGGGGTGCTAGGCCCCTGTGTAGTAGTGCATAGAATTCTAGCTTTTTTTCCTTTCTCTGTATATTGGGCTCAGAGATTACACTGTGTCTCTATGTGAATACAGACAGTTAGCATTTACCAACATGTATCTGTCTACTTTCTCTTGTTTACTAAAATGAAAAAAAAAACAGAAAAAAGGGGGGGTTAGAAGGTCAGCAAGGGTGGGTTTGAGGTGTCTGGGGGGGTTAGTGGGCATTGTGACAACATGGCTTCTCCTTTGGCATGTTTAATTGTGATGTTTAACAGACATCCTTGCAGTTTAAGGTGACACTTTTAAAATAAAATTCTCTCCTAACGAAAAAAAAAAAAAAAGAATTAGCAAGTTTAAATTACTTCTTAAGATAATTCGCATTCTTAAACATACCTATGTTTAAAAATAACAGAACTTGTTTGGCCAATAATAAACCTATGTAGATCATTCAAATCTGCTCCTAGATCCTTATGAATATGACTTAAATACAGAGGTTCAGAAGGAAGAAAGAAACTGAGACACTCATTTCTCATTCTCACAGGTTATTACAAAAGCACCTTGTACAAGCCAATCCTGTTTCCATTTTAAATTATGCAATTTAAAATAGTTCTTCAGACGTAGAAAATTTACAAAATAAAGATACAACACATATATCCCCACAGTGTCTGCTGTTCTAAAACTGTGGAATGATTATTTAAAGGTGAGTGAGGTGCTTAAAATTTCATAACCTAGAACAAGAGATAAACAAAAAGATAAGTAGCTGACAGAGGACCACTTACAGCTAGGGGCTCAGTCTACTAATACTGCTTTCGGTTAATAAACTTCAGACAGAAGCAGAAATTTTTAATTTAAGGCACAGAAACAAATCAAATGGCACAAAACAAATGTCATATAAACCAATTATTGAATACCATAAGCAAGCAGAAAGGTTGATGGGGCTCTGAATTGACTCTGACTTAAGTAAACACAGGAGGATACACAGAGGAAAGTTCAAGGGGAAGAGATGAGCTCACGAGCATGGGGAGAGAAAGGCAGACTTTAAAGCAAGCAATTGTTCAGCTGTGACACAATTTTACTAGTATCACGAACATTTAATTGTCATTTTTTCTTACAATGAAAATAAGCCAATAACACCTTCCTCTAATATGTTACTTGCCATTTTGTTTGATTTCGCAATAAATGCAGATAACAAAATTTCATACAACAATGTAGAATCTTGTCCAGCTGGAATTAAATAAGGATGCTGTTAAAGGCATGCTTCTGGAAAACGCTACAGAGCAGAATGTCTAGACACATCATGAAGTAACAGAGTTTTTTGTAATTTTGCACATGTGCAGCAGAGGGCACTAACATAATTACAGTATTTAGTTCTGATGGGAGTAATTACCTGTGGTTCTGGGACTCACAGGAAGTAGTAAAACAGAGTTTCTCATCCTCATCAATGAATAGTTTCTGCCTATCCAAATAGGGAAATTGTTTATATGAAATTTATTTAATTTTTATAGCTGAAGGGCCATAATAATGGAAAGTTAATGTTGATTATTCCCTAGGAAATCAACAACACAACAAGTGATCCCTGAACATCGTAAACCGGCTTCCTCAGAAGGCCCATAGCACTCCATCAGCCTTTCTCCACTCTCGTGTTCTCACACAGCTACACTCTCCTAACTATTTCTTCTCCCCAAACAGCGTCTCAGAAATCTAAAAGTGGGAAAACTTCTGGCTATGTTAGCAGCTTTTTATGATGCATGGAAGTAGTGTCTGGTTGTAATGATCTCCACAAGGTGATGGAAACCTTGACACAAGCAGAAAGAACAACAAATAGCTGGTATGATAGAATGGGAAAGTTACCCCAAATCACACTCAAAAATGTTGTTTCATCACAAAGATGGAGAACAGATGGTCAGACAGTTTGTGGTCTTCACTTTCGAGGTAAAATTAATAGAATGGTGCTCTCTTTATGGGAAGTGCGGTGCACGTGAACTAAGGTAAATAACCATTTGCTTTCTACTCATGCTCTGTAGTTGGAGGATCATGGAGCTACGGTGGTCACAAAGGCTCGGCGTTCAGGTGCTGGAAGGCGAGTGCCAGGCAGCACACATTGTTAACTTCCACAGTAGATAAAATGTGGAAGGTTCCGTGGGAACACAGAAATGGGTATTACTCTGGGAGCCAGAGAGGACCTGCACAGATAGTGATGTTTAGTTTGGGTCTTAAAGGACATATAGACATTTTATTATATCAAGGCTTCAAGGCATGCAAAGCTAATCACAAAATAAATGTTTCTAGAATTCAAGGACCACTCAACTGGAAGCCACAGTTCTGTATTTTGTGGGAAGTAATTATGCTATAAAACTAGTTTACACTGGATATTTGAGAAATTTAAGAGAGGAATTAGGTTTGGCTTTTAACACAGGACTTTGTTATTCAGAGAGCCTTTAATTATGGGTATGTGGGAGAAAGGGAGAGATTATTTGGTTCATTGCTTGGATTTTACTAAAGTAGATTCCTACTTTAAGGAGCTGACAGCAGCTGGGGATTTGACAGCTCATTTTGAAAGGTGGTTGCTTTTAGTTCTAGAAATTTCTCATTGGATTGTGGTACATTGGCCATGGAAACATATCATTTTGTAACCAGAAATTGGAGTTGTTGTTTCTTTTGGTCACTCCATTAGTGGTAGAAACTTACTGTCAGAACAAGTGTCCTAAGAGGGAACAAAGATTTATTTTGAGCTCCAGACTCACAACAGAATTACCCATAGAGTTATGGCCTATGCATTCTGGAGGCCTCTAAAATTATCTTAGGGGCTAAGGAAATAGCTCAGTTGGTTACAGTGGGATCTAAAATTGATTCCTAGCACCCATGTAAAATGGGCATTCATATGGAATCCTGGGAACAAAATCCCTAGGGTTCTGTGACTCTAGGTAGTTGTAGTAGGACTTTCCTTTGGGTGGCCAGCTCCCAAATAATGACATGGAGACTTATTAATTATGAAAGTCATGCCTTAGCTTAGACTTGTCCCATATTTAAAACTTAAATTAACCAATATTTTAAAATCTACATTCTACCAATTGACTTTTACATCTTTTTCATTCTGTGTGTCCTACCCTTTCCTGTTTCCATGGCATTTCCTGTGTATCTCCATTATTCTTGTCCTTTCTCTGCCAGGAAGTCCTGCCTATCTCTCCTGCCAAGCTATTAGCCATTCAGCTTTTTATTACACCAAATCATAGCAATACCTCTTCACAGTGTATGAATATCCCACAGCAGGTAGTCACATACAAATTGGTAGACCTATGATATGAGACTGTCTGAAAACAAGGCAGAGGATTTCTGAAGAATAATACCCAAGGTTGACTTCTGGCCTCAATATGTAAACACACTTGCACATGCAAGAACCTGTACATGTACAGATAAAGCCCCCAATTTTTTGAGACCTAGAAATCATATATTAGTTTCAAAACATGAAAAGAGAATGACAAAATAAAAATGATACATGTCAATTCCTTTTCAAGCATAACACTAATCATCTTAATTTATGTAGCTATATGAAACAATTAACAAGGGCTATGAATGCACTTCTTATTTAATATTGTGGTGGGATTTAAAGTAAGGCCCCTGAAAATAACAGGGTCTTCAAGCTCTCCAAATAGCTGCTTGTTCTCTGCACCTGTATAGTTTTACAACTGTCTTTAGGGTGACAGGCATCTGAGACGCCCAGGCTTAGTACCTTCTTTCAGTCTTGCTCCATTTTTCTTACTGGGGGCTGGTTAAAGGTAGCACAGTCCCTTGACAGTGCTACCCACAGGCACCAGGTCTGTCCCTGATGCTTTTCACTCTGAGGACAGATCAAAGAACTGAAAAACATAAATGAATCCATTTATGTTTGTGGACAAAATGTAAGTGATTAGATAAAAGCAATGCATTAGATTTTTGTTGGCTTATGCGCTTACCAGGAAGAGGATTTGTAGATGTTAATTATATGAACTTAGACTTGTTTGTGCCCAGATGCATGTCTAAAATAACTATAATTTTGAGATTTGTCCACAAATTTTCTCATGGATATCAAATATAACTTTATTATGACCAAAAATTCAGCATTGCTCAAAGTGTAATTCTCCCAAATAACTAAAAAGCAGATTGTCAAATGACTTCTAAGATATATTATTCACAACACCTGAAAGGTGGAAACCACTCAAATGTCCATCCCTAGGCAAGTGGACAGACAAACTATAATAAATACTCACAGAAACCCACATCTTTTGCCTCTTACTGAGGGACTGGGAGTTAGATTCCCTGATAGGCAGACAGAGGGGTCATGGATATGTAATAAAGACAGTGCGCTTCCAGGATGGCTGGCTTCTTCCTCACCCTGCTAACCTGGAGGCTTAAAACAAAGGCCAGGTGTTTTTGTTTCCTCCAGTCAATAGCTCACTCCTTCACCCCTCCCCATGGTAGACCAGTCAGATCTATTCAAGGATAAATCTGCATGTGTTTACCAAAATGTTGTGGAGCCTCATTGTCTTTGTTCAAACCGACCAAACCTAAATTGGGGGAGGAAGATACCTAAAAGCCCCTCAGCTTCCAGATGACTTCCCTCTCTG